TGTTGGATGGAAGTTGTGGAGAGTATTAATCTTTAATGTTGGAAGAAGTTGTGATGATTTAATTTCATGCACTTCATTTACTTCTTGATCTGACCTATTTAGATGTTAAAATTTGTTGTGAGAACATGTAAGAACCGGGCTGCTATTGTCTCAGTCAACAATTTGAAATAATCATATGAGGATGTATGAATGAGAATGTAATTCATATGATTAAGTGAAAATAAATAGGGAAATAATATTTGAAGTGTGTAGAGTTAGAGGACTTTAAAGTGACAGGTTAAAACCCCGAACTTGATTTATTATTTTAGGTTCTGATACGAGATGTTAGCCCCCAAGTGGAGGGAAGCGAGGGAACTTAAGAGTGAGAGCTGGTATCTTCCCTGCCTAGTCGGTCTTCAGAACTATTCATACTTTAAATTAGTCATTATTCTTTATAGCATCTCTATTAAAGGTAAAAAATAATATTACTCATATTTGACATAACACAAATTGCATACTTCCACAACATAAAGCCTATACTTATTGCTGATTCATGGTAAGGAGAAAGATATTTTCATATTAAGTGTATTTCTTTTACATAAACTCAAGTTATCTTTAGCATTTTTTGTTGTTTTGTCAAAATTTCAAAAATACCAAAAAGATTTGAATTTTAATTATTGTAAAAACATCTATAGTTTAAGTAATTGTTTTTTTAAAATAGAAAGTTTGTTGTTTAATAGTGCATATTGTGAAATTCTTATGTGTTCGATATTTAGGTCTTAATCAAAAAGTCTTATATTACTTGATAATGATACGTATACTTACGTAGTATCCCAATATATATAAATTAAAAATTTAAATTCTTATTTTCTTCAGGATCAAATTTCTGGTACTATTGCAAATTAAGAAATATAAGTAAAAAACATAATTGAAGACATTGTTATACTGTTGCATTTAAACAGTAGTCGGGATCAGAATACTTGAGTTATTTTTAGTGGATTTGACAGTTTAAAAATTCTTCAAAGATAAAATTATTTTTATTAAAGTTATTTTTATTGGGTTTATATTGCATATTTATTATTATAACTGTTGTGTGTATTTTATAATATTGAAAAATATTTGCTAAAGTAACACACAAAAATCCACCGCGTCAAGTTTTTGGCACCGTTGCCAGAGAATTAACGGAAAGTATTAGTAAATTACTTTATTGTTTAAAACATTTTATTTGAACTAAAAAAATCATTTGTAGTTTAGTTTAAATATTTTCATATTTTAGTGTGTTTGTTTATTTTAATTGTTTATTGTGTTTGTTTATGCGTAGTTTATGATCGAAAGATTTAGTACCTTATGATTCTGAGTTAGAAAGAACTATTAGAAAAATTTAAATAAAACAAAAAGAGATAGATAATTTTAGCAAAATGGCTTGCAACTCAAATAATGTTGTAAATGAAAATGAATATGATCAGAGACCTTTAAGAGATTATGTTAGTCTTATAGCAAATGAAATTCATTTGAGAATACAAAACTCTGCTGTAGCTGCCAATTCATTTGATCTTAAACCTGTTATTATCCAAATTGTACAAAAAAATTAGTTTGGAGGAACAACAACCGAAGATCCTAATTTACACCTTACTAGTTTTCTAGAATTGTGTGCTACTTTTAACTATAATGGAGTGTCGAATGATGCCGTCAGACTTAGACTTTTTTCCTTTTTTACTAAGGGATAAAACTAAGATCTGGTTAAACTCGTTAGCACCTCGATCTATTAGAACTTGGGGAGACTTATCATAAAAATTTTTATCTAAATATTTCTCACCTTCAAAAACTGCTAAACTTAGAAATGATATTACATATTTTTGTCAGTTTGAAGGGGAATCAACTTATGAAATCTGAGAAAGATTTAAACATCTCCTTAGAAAGTGTCCACACCATGCTTTTCCAGATTGGTTAATAATTCAAACTTTTTATAATGGATTGGTTGGATCTCTTAGTTCAATAATTGATGCTGCTGCTGGTGGATCATTAATGTCAAAACCATTCGATGAAGCATATTCTTTAATTGAAGAGATGACAACTAATAATTTTCAATGGCCCTCTGAAAGAGTAAATCCAAAAAGAGTAGCTAGTATTCATGATTCTGCTGCACTATCTATGTTGACTGCCCAAATTGCTGCTATATCAAAGAAGATAGATCAATATGGAATGAATTATTTTCAAACAGTACTTGTGCTTAAGGAAAACTCATTGGGACAAATGATAAAATCTCAATCTTATGAGACCTTAAATGCAATAAATAATCATTCTTATAATTCTTATGCCAATTATTATAACCTTGGTTGGAAGAATCATCCAAAATTTAGTTGGAGTAATAATAACTCTAATACTGTTAATCCGCAATGGGGAAACAGTGTTGCAAACTCATTGAGAAACTCCAACAATCAAGGAAATCCAACTTATAAACCTTATTACCCTCTAGGTTTTAATAATTTGCAGAGTAAGAAGAAAAAATTGACAATGGAAGAGTTAATATTGTAAATGGGAAGTCAATTACAAAGTCAAAGAGTTGCAATTAGAAACATGGAAAATCAATTTGGATCTATTGCTACTACACTTAGCAATAGGCCTCCAGGAACGTTGCCTAGTAATGTTGAAGTAAATCCTAAAGATAAGAATAAAGAACAAATTAAGGCTATTCAACTGAGAAGTGGAAGAGAATTAGAAACAAAGGAAACTAGAGTTCAAAAGGAAGTGGAAGTTGAAGTTGAAAAAGATGAGGTGGAAAATAAAAATTATGTTGAAGATTTTCATTTTGAGTTGATGTGGAGTACCATGGTGTATGGTTTTGATTAAAAGAATGATGAAAGAATTTTGTCATGTGGGCTTTAATGGAAATTGAAATTAACTCAATTTATGGGCTTTTAATTTTGGTGTGAAAGAATTGATTTTTGGGCTTTCAGGATGGGTTAAGGAAAATTGATTTTTGGCTTCGCCAATGGGCTTGAAGGGCTTTGGAATTTTCTTGCAATTTTGATTTTGGGTTTGGTATATTTGAATTGGTGTGTAGGCCAAATTTGGTGAATTTTTGGACTTTATGGAATTTTGGTATGGATATGGACATTTGGCTCAAAACTGAGGATTTTGGGTTTGAAATTGAAATTTGGGTTTTAATTTGGTGTTTGGTGAAATTGAATTTGAATTTGGCATTGGAATTTGTAGAGCTTGAATTTGGCGCTAAATTAGGTATTTTGGGAAATTTGGGGGACATTTGGGAAATTGGGTAATTTGGAAAAAAAATTGGGTAAGGTGATCATGCATGTCATGACTAGCCATCTTGAGACCATAAGACACCAAATGAGAACTCATTCTTGAGTCACCACATGTTGGTATTAGTCATCTTAACTAGAGGCTAAAGGCTTGGGACAACCCATGTGAGTTCCCAAAGTGTTAAGGAGGTAGGTCCAGTGTATGTGATTTTAGGGTTTTAGGGTATGTGGGGAATTTGATGGGCTTGAGTGTGTGTAGGTGTGCGTGAGACCAAACCTGAGCCACCCAGAGTTGTCCTGAGGCCTGGTTGAATCTATAGGAACTCACTCTTGAGTCTACGCATGTCAGTCTTAGCCATCTCAAAATGACATTTGGGGGCTTGTGACCAGTCAGGTGGGATCTCATAAGAGGAGTCAAGAATTGTTTTGAATTTCTATGTGGGGTATGGATTTCCTTTACTAGTCCTCTAAGATAGTCCATAATAAAATCTTAAGGATAGATTCTAGGCTTCTAAAGAGAAGAATTTGACCTCATAAAAAATGAGGTCAATGACGTAATTTTGCCTTTGATCCTTGTTTTCTATAAATAGAATCCTTTCATTTTTGAAAGGCCTTTTGGTTGATCTCTTTCGTAGACCAAGTATTTATTGAAAGAAAATGGGTTTAAGAGCCCCAAGGACACACCATTCGACCTTACGGTTTAAGTCTTCCTCTCCCTCTCTCCCAATCTGTTCTTTTTGTCCTTGATCACTAGACATTATCCCTTGGCAATGATCAGATAGATTTGGATTCAACAAGTTCAACGTACTAATTCAACTAAATTCGATAAATTCAATTGGGCAAAATATTAAAGTTGGGCTCAACAAATTTGTCAAGCAAATCACATCGTGTCAATCAGCACTTCATCTAACAAGCTAACTCGACGAGGGAGAGAATGAGAAATAGATCTTCCTTATTTCATCTCCATATTTTTATCATCTTATCTATTTCTCCTTCAAGTTTTACCTAGAAAGTGTGAGCCTGCTTACAATTTTGAATATGTATATATATATATATATATATATATATATAGTTTACCAATAGTTTTTACCTTTTTGCTTTATATATATATATATATAAATAGAGAGAGAGAGAGAGAGAGAGAGATTATATTATACTAATTTCAAAATAAATTAAAATATTCTAAACCTAACCTACAATAAGAAGTAATGAACTTGTAATATATTAATCTCAAAAAGGATCCAATATTTTGAAACCCAGCCGGACACAAATTTTATTCTGCATCAAATACAATTTGGCATTACTACCAAAATCTGCCGTCCCTAACGTCATAGTCTTCAGCATGAAGGGGAGAACACACAGTTCTCCCTTCAACGGGAAGTAATTGGTCTAGAGCTTTCCCCAACTAAGACATTTTTCATTGGAGACTTCAATATTTAAAGTCTAGTTATTTGCTCATCGCCAGTATTTGTACTCGTCACCATAAACGATAGAGGGAGGCCGGCAGTTAATATTACTCTTAAGACAGTATTTGAATCAGTATATTTAAAAAATCGCGCATAATCAGAACCATAGCAAAATAGTTACTGACCCACCCAAATATCAGAAGCAAGAACAAAACAAGCAAGCTCCTAACAACCATTTAAGCGTAATGGCAATAATTAGAGACTACACTCAAAAACAAACTTCAAGGGATAAAGCCTCAAAGTAGCGTAACGTGTCCAAAGGCTATCAGAGCAAGATTCAAGAAATGTCGAGACATTGAAATAAAAAGCTGATCATCAACTAAAGCCTATTTCAATTCTTTTATTTAACAGAAAGGTACAAGCTACAGGTTACACCCATCTCAGAGCAACTACAACATGGAGATCAATTAAGCGAGCAGCAACTTCTCGCTGCTACTTCAATAAACTCCATTATTAGCACAAATGAGATGATTACTTTGATTCAATAACACATCGAAGTCTGCAGTGGAGTTGACTTCATAATTTCCTATCTATATGACAAAATGCAGCTTTTCATAACTACCTTCAAAGTGAATCTGAATCTTCCTTGCCATAAACAAGCGGGAACTCCTCAAACTGCTCTGAGGAGTTGTACTTATCCCCTATGCTCTTCAGAGATTGGTAGACACGGTACATGGAAGGTCTCTCCTTGGGTCTGTATGCCACACAGCTCATTGCAATCTTTAGAAATTGTAAAATTGCCCCGTCGTTTTGCTCACCTCTGAGACTCCAATCAAAAGACTCGGACAAGTGGCCAGCTGCAGCGAGCTGATTGATCCAATCCACCAAATTCCCCTTGAAAACTTCTCCAGTGAAGTCTGAGGAGACTTCTGTAGGTTTCTGCCCAGTGATCAGCTCCAGAAGCACAACACCAAATGCATAAACGTCCCCTTTGGTAGTCGCGATGGGGTTGCTGGCGTACTCTGGCGGAATGTAACCAAATTCACCAAAATCTCCATTCAGAAATGGGCTCGCGCCGGCAGACCTCGCTCCGCCAGCATCAGCCGAGGATGAGCTAACAAGCCTTGGTAGGCCAAAGTCGGTGATCCGAGCCTCCCAATCCTCGTCAAGAAGAATGGCGCTTGAAGTTATTGCCTGATGCAAAAATGGAGTCGGAAAGCCGTGATGCAGCCACGCAAGGCCGTGTGCAGCTCCTATGCCGATTCTAAGTCTAGCCAGCCATTTAAGACTACCGGCGGATGATCGGAGAAGAGAAGATAAGGCTCCATCGGGCATGTACTTGTAGACTAGGAAGCGCTCATCCTCCACCACGCAGAAACCAAGCAAGGGGACGAGATTGGGATGGCGGAGCTGGCTGATCCGGCCCATCTCGGCACGAAACTGCTTCTCTCCAAGGGAGCAACCATTCAGACGCTTAACGGCGAGGGCTGAGCCGTCGGGAAGAACAGCTTTAAAAGAAGTTCCCACCCGTTCGCTCCCGGCGATGATGATGTACTCCTGGTGGAAATCACCAGTGGCCGAAAGCAGATCGGCCAGCTTAACCTTTACGATTGGTTTCTGGAACAGAGACACCGGCAACAGACGGTTGTGGGATGTCCGAAGCCGTGTCACCCAAAGTCTACCCTCCTCGCCGGAGATGACATCTCCGGTCTTCTTCTGTTCAGAGGAGAAGTAGCATCTCCAGACGAAGAAGGCGAGGGCAACAGAAGCTAGTGCACCGAAGACGCCGGCAGCGATGATGATGATGAGACTGGTGTGGGAGCGGGAGCCGCAGTGCGATGAAACGGGGCGGCCGCATAAGCCGTCGTTAGAGTCAAAGACCGAGGAGGAAGGGAATGAAGAGGCAAGGGATGGTGGGATCTCGCCGGAGAGAGCATTATGAGAGAGATCGAGGTGCTTCAGTCGGTTGGAGCGGGGGGGCGAGGCGGGAGAGGGAGGCGGGGATTGTGCCGGATAGAGAGTTGGAAGAGAGGGTAAGAGAATTGAGGAAGCTGCAGTTAGAGAGCTCAGGGGGGATTGAGCCCGTTAGTCTGTTTCCGGAGAGATCGAGATTGACTACATAGGGCATCCATTCGCAGAAGTCTGGGGGGATGGGGCCGGTGAGAGAGTTGCCGGATAGGTCAAGGGCGTTAACAACACTGCAAAATTTTAGGGCAGATGGGATGCTTCCCGTAAGAGACATGGAGGGGAGGCTGAGGGAGAGGATGCGATTTTCTTGGGGATTCCAGCACGCCACGCCCACTAAGTTACAGACGAATCCGACCGTGTTGTTAGAGAAATTCCAGGCGAGTTTGCCATCGGGATCGCCCAGGGATTGTTTTAGTTCGCGAAGGCACCGCACGTCGTCCTCTGGCGTGACTGACACGGTAGTTAGCGCCATGGAAAGAAGCAGAAGCGTGGAAGAGCAAAGGGTAGCCCACCGGCCGTTCATATTTGCCGGCGGCGATTGCTGAACGAGCTGCAGTCAAGATCTAGACAGGAGAGAGAGAGAAGGGTGCGCGATGAGGGAAGTTAATGGAGATTAGTGTGCCCGTAGCTTCCGCCTTTAGGTGGTCCGGAGGGGATGTGGAAATTACGAGTCTCCAGATATGACTTTGACTTCGTCGATTATCGTCAAGGCGCGATTCCCAAATGCTAACTCTGTCTTTTTTATTTTGCTTATTTAAAAAAAAAAAAATTATTTGATAGGTAAGAGAAATTAAAGAAATGTGCCCATTTTAAGTTTTTATGAAAATATACTTCAATATTTAAAATCCCTATACTTTTGATATTTTATATCATCAGTAATTAGGAAGAATGACATCTCATTTTTTTTCACATAAGTTTCACTTATCATAGGCACAATGTCACTTAAAGATCATTTACTTGCGAGGAAAATGACAATGATGTCAGTGAAGTTCACAACTTTTACATTCATCAATACTTCAACAATTAATGGCATCATCCTATTTGATGCTTACAAAATGAATAAAAGATTTTATCATTTAATTCGAAAAAGTGCAAAATAAAATATATAATAGTGTCCTCTAAACCTGGTCAAAATGTCTTTACAAACATTGCACAAACATTTTTCTAAGAATATGACGACCATAGTTCAAATATATACATGTCAAAATCTTATTCAAACTATATTGTTTAATCATGATTTGTAGCACATTTGAACATTCCTAGAACAAAGTTTAAACATTATATTTTCAAAACATATTCTTACATGACTACAATAATAATCAAACAATATGTTTGAACATAATCCAAAAAAATAATAATGAAATATGACAACATAGTTCGAGCCATCTTTGAAAATGGTTCAAATGTAATTCAAACATATTTTGATGTTATTGTTCGAATATATATCGACTACATATCAAAATTGAAATGTTAGTAATTATTGCTTAAGTTCAATGTTTTACATATCACTGATTGTTTATAGAATCACATCTTTTCTAGGCAAAATTGCATTTATTTAGCACTCTGATACGCTAATCTTTTGAAATGTTATATCATACATATTGGGATTATTTATACTATATTATAATTTTGAGGTGCGATGATTTGATATGTTGAAAATAGCCTCCTTCGAAAGATACTCAGAAGAGCATGGATGATTTTCATAATCATTTCTTGAGTTTCCCTATTTATGAAAAGTGATTAATATCTCATGATTGGGTACTGTTGGAATACAGTATCTTGAAATGTCAGCGTCATTATCACTTAACACCAACACTGATTCAAGGGGTAAAGAAATCTTTGTTGGCAACTATTTTTGTTGTCACACATGGTTGGATGTCCTATTCGAATGTTGTGGCAGCATATGACACTCACTCATAGCCTCCCGTTGCTCGGGGCTCTATAAGATTTTTCTGCATGCATTTTCGAGAAGATTTGGGTTTAGAGCGTTGTGTCTGCACTGTAGTTCGAAGCGCGTGTTGGCATGAAATTCATTTATGTAATGCGTGTGAAAGTGCTAATTTTTGAAGTTATGGGGAGTATATTTTAGTCAAATTTAAATCTCCCATAGCTTAAGGACAACCAAAACCCTTTTTCAGATGTTTTTAGCAAAAATAGCGGTTTTCGGGCCCAACTTACGCCTAGTTGCCAAGCCCTCGGTGCCTAGGCACCCAAAACAGCCCCCTCGTGCCCGAATCTGAGAGCTTAGATGGAAGGTGGCAATCTCGATCACCTAGGCACTAGATTTGATGAATAGCTCCAAAGACCAAGAGCACAAAAACTAGGCGCTCGAACATCGACGCCTAGGTTCCATATCTAGCGCCTACGTGACAGGGACCCTGTGCCTAAGTGCTCACCTACTTTCTACTCTCGATTTTTCTCTGAATTGCAGCTCGGAACACGTCCCTAGGCAAGCAAAAAGTGTTGATTTTCTTGGCTCAGCAAAAGATTTGCATGGGGGAATTAGAAAACTGGTCATGTGGATGCTTTTGGTTACCTAAATGCATTTTAAAGGGAAATCTCCCTGCTATTTTCAACAAGAAAGAGGAACAAAAAATGGGGTGTGATACACCAAAATAATATGTAATTTTAAGTATATATTTTATGCTTATATTTGGTGATATTGCACTTTAAATAAGTCTATTTTCATGTTTTTGTTGCAGGTATATCAATTATAGGCATTTGGAGCAAAAGAAGCAAAAATGACGAAATTTGCAGCCCAAACAGCAGATTTTTTGATTCTGGCGCAAGATGCGCCAGATTGGTGCATGATGCTCCAGATTGGAGCCAGATGCAGCAAAACCCATAACAACGCGGTCTTCAGTAAACTGGCATATGATGGTCTAGATTGGCGCCAAATGTGTTATTTGATAGTGAGTTGGCGCATGATGTGCCAGATTTGGCGTCAAATGCGCCAAGGACGACTTTTTGCAGATTAAGGCGATTCGAGACGAATTTGTGTGTGAATTTCAAAGGGACACTTGTTCTAAACACCCCTTGGAGTGATTCAATACATCCAGACACTTTAGAAGATTCTTTTATGAATGGATATGTCTCTTGGATCAATGGACCTCTTTTTTGAATTCCAAAGAGCTGACTTTCTGATAGATTTTAGGGGAGAATTTTGAATTCTTTTTAGAGGGAGGCAACCTTAAATAAAAGAGAGGAATGTCTAGAGCTTATAGAGGAGGTGTGTGGCATGAAGGGCAAGAAGAAGGGTTAGAGAGAGAGAGAGTCAAGGGCTTGGAGATTTTCTTCAAGGATTGTAAGAGGAGAGGGAATGTGAGATATTTCTTCTTCATTACACTTCTAAAACAGAATTGAGAGTGCTTGTGAAGAGAGAAAGACTTTAAGAGAACTTCTAGGGATTTATTTAGGAAATATTGTGAGATAAGTTGTGTTTTTTTCTCTTATTTTGTAAACTTGTTTTTAATATATGAAATTTGTGTTTTATCATATCCTTCTCATGAGTTATGAGTAGTCTTCTTTATCCTTCTCCCTAATTTGAGATATTATTTTGTGAAAATTTGATTTTGTTTTATACAGTTTTAAATGTCAATAATTTGTGATGATTTGAACTCTGATCTTCATTTACTTTTCGATCTGGTCAATTGAAATATTAAAATGTGTAGAGAATCATATGTTCTAAAAGGGCTATGACTTCTACAACATGGGAAGAATCACATTTGATTTCATGGGAGAGTATTTCATCTATGGGATTGAGTGTAGACAAATAAGAAAATACACTTTGTTGGATGCAAATTTGGAGATTTTAAGGTGACAGATTAGAATCCCCAATTTGGTACAGTTGATTGGAAACTGATGCGAGATTGTTAGCCCTCAGGTGAGGGAGTAGTGGAAGCTCTGGAGCTGGTGAGGGATTAGGAGAAGCTCTAGAGTAGCAGCCGATATCCTCCCAGCCTAGCCACAAAATTAGGGACCAAACTCTAGATTAGTCAATATTCTTTATGCACTCGGAAGAGGGTAATGAATAAGATTGCTCCTATTTGACAGATTGCTCCTATTTGACATATTTTCAAATGATTTTAATTTCTTCACAATCCATAAAATGATTTTAATTTCTTCACAATTAATTTCTTCACAATCCATATGTTCATTGTAAAGGGGATAGATGTTTCTTAAATTTGAATTTTCCGTCACGAAAACTTAGTTTAGTTTTCATAAGTTTACTTTTGAAAAGTTTAGCATTTAATTTAGTTAATTTTGTCTTTCAAATGCATTTTACTTAACATTCACTTTGCTATTTAATATTTAAATTTCGCACTTTACTTTTTGTAATTTAAATTTGTACTTTACATTACAATCTTAAGTGCTTATCAATAGGCATTTCCAACTTCCCTGTGGGATCGATATCTAGAATTCCCTTAGAGCCCTTTATTACTTTAGCAATACGTATACTTGCATTATTTTTACAGTGGATTTGGCAGTTTAAAGATTTTTAGAAGATAAAACTATTTTCACTGAAGTTATTTTATTGGGACTAATTTGCATATTTGTTATTTTATCTATCGTGTTTATTTTGTAATATTGAAAAATATTTATAAAATTAACACACTAAATCCACCAGCATCAAGTTTTTGGAGCCGTTGCTGGAGAAGTAATGGAAAGTAGTAGTAAGTTATTTTATAATTTATAATATTTTTATTTTAAAATTAAAAAAAAAGTTTGTAGTTTAGTTTGAATATTTTTTATTTAGGTGTGTTTGCTTATTTTTAAATTACTTGCTGTGTTTGTTTATGCATAGTGTATGATATGAATATTTAGTACCTTACAGTTCTGAGTTAGAAAGAACAATTAGAAAAGTTTGAAAAAAACAAAACGAGATAGACCATATTAACAAAATGGCTTGCAATTTGAGTAATGCTAGAAATAGAAATGAGCATCATTAGACACCTTTAAGAGATTATGTTAATCATACAACAAATGAAATTCATTTGACTATACAAAACCCTGCTGTAGCTATCAATTCATTTGAGCTTAAACTCTCTATTATCCAAAAGATTCAAAATAACCAGTTTGGGGGAATACCAACTGAAGATCCTAATTTACACCTTGCTAGTTTTCTAGAATTGTGTTCTACATTTAAATATGATGGAGTGTCAAATGATGTAGTCAGACTTAAACTTTTTTCCTTTTTCACTAAGGGATAAAACTAAGGTGTGGTTAAACTCGATAGCACTAGGATCTATCAGAACTTGGGGAGATTTATCACAAAAAATTTTATCTAAATATTTCCCACCTTTAAAAACTGCTAAGCTTAGAAATGATATTACATCTTGTTGTCAGTTTTAAGGGGAATCAATTATGAAGCCTGGGAAAGATTTAAAGTTCTCCTTAGAAAGTGCCCACACCATGCATTGTGAGATTGATTAATAATTCAAACTTTTTATAATGGATTGGTGGGATCTCTTAGATTGATAATTGACGCTGTAATTGACGCTGTTGCTGGGACGCTGTTGCTGGTGGATGGTTAATGTTAAAATCATTCGATGAAGCATATTCTTTAATTAATGAGATGACTACTAATAATTTTCAATAACTCTCTGAAAGGGTAAATCTAAAAGAGTAGCTAGTATTCATGATTCTGATGCAATATCTATGTTAGTTGCACAAATAACTGCTATATCGAAGAAGATAGATCAATATGGA